GTGTGTGTTTTACTGTGTGTGTGCTTCCCTCACCACGGACAGTCAAAACCAAAAACAACCAGACCATTTAAGGGTGTCACTTTTAAGATACATGTCTGGGTATATCATTTAGCTGCTTCGACACACAAAGTAAAAGATGGATTACGGTGTTAAAAACAGAGGTAAAAACAAGACTACATTCTGAATTAGACTGAAACCAACTGTCTGATCTTATTTAGGAAAAGGATACAAAAAGCAGGATGAGACTTGCAAATGGAAATGGACTGTGTCACAGTGCTGGTTCTAATTCAGAAGTTTTAATTAATTACTTAATTTATGCTGAGCATTACCACATTTTCATCAGTTTTTAGTGGCTTAACACTAGGGATGAGCAACCATTATCTGTATCTGTTCAACCAACTAACCAAATAATCTGTACATTTATCTATAAATAAATGATATTGAATCCATACTTGAATGGTTTAACTTAAGGGCATGGGCTGGACTAGCTGGAATTTGTTCATTTAAGCTTGAAATTGATATGGGTTTATCAGAAGTTGCCGTATTTATTGGAAACTCCTTTCTTTGGTTATATATTTGTAAGTACGGATATTGATACATTTTACATAATAATTGTACTACAAAAACTACATTATCTGTACCAGGTACTCATTTCAGCCGAGAACTCACTCAGTTCTATTTAATACTGACAACGAAGAACTGTGTCTAAATAAAATCGTTTAAAATGAAAAAGTAGCATAGAAATCAGGAAATATCTGATTAAATGGAAAGTAGGATTGAAATCAGGAAATATTTGATTAAATAGAAAGTAGTCAGATAAGGCTTCTGGTACTTGACAGACTGGAGTATCTGAAACATTTTCAATTGCAAGTAAATTAGGGCTAAAATACCAAAACAACCAGCCACAGTAGAGTGTGCCGTTCTACAAATAAAAACTACAGCCAAACTTTACATAGTTCAGATATACGGGGTACAAACGGGCTGAATTAGCATTTAGCTTTCAGAGATAGACAAGAAAAATCGTGAGACGTAACAAGGGTTCCCAGTCACAATCAAACTGGGGCCATGGCAGTAACAGGGTATACCTTTCAGGCCTTTGTATTGGTAAGAATCTGGTGATACGATACCTTTCATAATACAGGGGTTACGATTCAATATATGCAGTACTGTAGGCAAGGTGATATATTTTTAAAATAAATAAAATTTTAGCAAAACTTTCATAGTATTTAGAACACACCACCATGTGCATAGAATCTGAGTAAAAGGAAATGTACTTTTTTGTGCTGTCAAAACAGTGGCATCACTGCTATCTACTGGTTGGGAGTTCAGACACAAAACTCGAGTGTTAGTGTTTTTGATAATTGATACAATATCAGTTTGTGATATTATTATTTTTGTAAACCTCTAATGCCTCTTAAGATGTCATTGCAGTATAAATGAAAACTCACGCCATAGGTATCTTTTGCTGTGACTCCTGGTAACTCCTTGGTCAAGGGTAAATCTGGCTGTAGACCACAAAGCCTAGGGGACGTGCCTACATCCTCTTTTCTGTTTAATCAGTAATCCACTGTACTCAGATAGTCACTATATCAATCCCATCCACCAGCACACGGCCTGTATGCTCTTCCAGTTACCATCAGTTCACTGAATGATCCTCTGTACATCCCCATACATGCTGATTTGCTTGCAACAAAGACATGATTTAACAGCTGTTTACACATAGAAACATGGTTCATGTGTGCTATGCAGTGGCTCAAGAACAAAAGGCCCTTGAGCTTGCACCACGACCATGTGTTACAACACATCTGCTGCAGGTCTTTCAGAACCGGTGGCCTGGCATGCCCTGCACAGACCTCAGCTGGGAGGGATAGATAGAGGGGCTGCAGATTAGTGTGCTTTTAAGCGTATCAGACATCTTAACTAACATTAGGGGGTTTGATAAAGAATCTGGAATGATATCAAATAAACCTGCTTAAATGAGCCCAAGCTGCGTCCACTGATTACTGAAGTCACGGGCTTCGGTGGACTCTGCATGACTGCTGAGCCACAGCCTCTGAAATACTGCTTGGTGTTTGGTTTGGAAGTTAGGTTTGTCACTTCCTGTTTATTCTGTTAGAT